ATTTTATTAAAAATTTCCAGCTATTAAGAATCTAAATAACATTCCTTTGCAAGGAAAACCCTTGACAGTTCAAAAGTCAAAATTCAAAACAGTAATTGTCACTTACTCAGACAAAAAAAAGGGAATTGGATCCACCTACAAAAAAATGAGTAACACAGGACTGCATAAAAGATATGACAGAACCCACAATAGACCACCAACAAATTCAATCTATGTCACTAATTTACCGTAAGTAACTTTTATACTACCTGCAAAAGTTCATTATGCCACATGTAATACACACATAAGTAAATTTCTAATCCCCATTCAGAAATGACTATGAAAAGCATGATGTCGAGTTGATTTTCATGGCTTATGGGATCCATTTCAACTTGGATCAAGTAGTAGAACAGTAAGTACAATTGCCTAATTTTTCTACCACAAACAATCCTTCTTATATAAGTAATACCATTTTTATAAATTACTAATATTGCAACTTACATCATTTATGTAGGAAAACACAAAAGTTCAAAAGCTTCACTATAAACCTGCAATCAATTGGAGAAGCAGTAGATGCTCTTGTGGTATGTATTACATAATGCAATATTTAATAAGTAAAACTTAATCATTTCAGCATTTATAACCATTATTTCTTTTTCCATAGACAATGCATAACGTTGAGACTGACGATTGGCAAAAGATGTATGTATGTTTTGATAAACCACAATTACCTTGAAAGACCATCATTTGTTAACAGAACTGCAGTATAATTTAATTAATTATTTTTCAAAGACCATTGGCAAACAATCAATGCATAATGCCAAACAAATCATCTAATTTTGTATTTAATCACCAAATAAAATGAATACTTTGATGCCATAAACTGTATTTTCTTTGAGCCTACAACAAATCAATTACCTCGAGATAATCACACATTGAGTATTCAAAGTACACATTTAGTACTAATATATTGCAAAAAATCATTTCTTAATATGAGATTGCCTGAATTCAATTTACTTATTCGTGAAAATGAAAATGGATATAACATAATGCTATTCAGTGACTTCACTCTTGACATGGCAACATACGTTAGGCCAAGTGCAAATTCCTTCTCACCAATGTGAACAACAGCCTGTTGAAAACAAAAATCAAATAAACAATAATATTAAAAAATTACTCATGCCACAACTTGTTAATAACTCACTATTAATACATACCTTTGACAAAGTAAGTCCTTGAGATTTATGAATGGAACAGGCATAGCTCAATGATATTGGAAATTGAATACGAGATAATGATTCATTATGCCGATTTGTCCAACTGCTCAACATAGTAGGCACAGGTACTACATTTGAACCTGGTATTATAGAAGGGCCAGTGTAATTTTCAAATTCACACAATAAAACTGTTGGATGATGAATTGAAACTTCAGTCTTATCATTATATAAAATGTCAACAATTTTACCCATAGCACCATTAACTAGGCCTTTAGCCAACCAGAGATTCGTTCTCAGCATAATGTTACATCCCTTTGCTAGATATAAATTTTGCTCCAATCCTTGGGCCTCATCAGTAGAAGCTTTTTTAGCTTTAACACAATTTGTTCGAGCTTCAACTTTCAAAACTGGTACAAAATCATTGTTACTATCTCTCAATTCAGATAACTTTGATATATTAAAATTACGCACTTCTTCTTTAGTCGCAAATAAATGCAGTGCATCATCAAATTCATTATAATTACTTACTGATCCCTTCATTCTAGTCCTCAAAACTTCATAATCTTCCTTAGTTACAACACCTTCACTAATATTATTCAATATATTTAGAAATTGGCTATCATTTTGCCTGTGTATTTTATTCAAAATAATACACTTCTGAATATTCTGCATTGCATTGTAACCACATTGTGATAAAACACAATTCTGATTATAACTATAAATTGGTTTATCTTTAACTGGTGGTAACTGTTTTATATCACCAAAGAAATATGTAAACAAACCACCAAAATCTTCAGCATAATTACCAGTGGCCTCTTTGCAACGTCTATTTATCATTCCCATCATCCTACTACCAATCATAGAATATTCATCAATAATTAAAAACTTCACATTTGCAAATTCGTTGTTCAATTTTCTAGCTTGTTCACCTGCTAATGGTTTGAAATTCTTACTTTCTCTTGGAATTCGAAAGATTGAATGAACAGTTTTCCCTTTAATCAATAATGCAGATACACCTGTAGGAGTACCTAATACATAAGAATCCTTTCCATATTTCTCTGTTAACAGTTTTCTAATTTGTGCAATTACCAAACTTTTCCCAGTACCTGTAAAATAAACAAAACCATTAATTTCGACATTGATTCATTAACTTCCAATTTAAAATCATTCATTATTTAACAATTGTATATTAAGTACTAACCAGCCTTGCCTTGAACTATGCAAGTTTTAACAACATCATCACATGCATAATTGGTATTATTGCATTCAATTGATTCAATTTGTTTGGTCACTAATTGCAGCACCTTCTGCTGATCACAACTGAGACTAATATTAGGACTATTAACAAACGCATTTGTCTCTAATTCATTACTATTTTCAAACATTTTCTTCTGCTCTCTGATAAAATTTTGAAATTCTTCTATGGTTCCATACTGTTCATACATCTCAAATGATCCCATCCATGGATAATTTATATCTACATGCCTTTTTCCCAATTCAACTTGATCTATTCTACCGCGTCCAATACTTGAACACACCATCCATTCTTCGTTATTCTCCCTTTCCAGTTCTGCTTCATAAAAACCATCTAACAATTCTTCATCATCTTCTTCTCCTTCAGCTTCATCAGACGCTACATTTTCTAACAAATCGACAACTCCTGGCACATTGCTTAAACCATATCTAATATAAGCTTCATTCCATGACTCATTCTCATTCCTTAAATTTTCATCATTGCGCCATGGTACATGTAAATAAACTTGCTGTTCAAAATACTTGTCATTCTCTTCATCCACTTTTAACTTCACAATTGGAAAAACTCTAACAATGTTTTCTGCGTTGGAAGATAACAATTTCCACTTTGCAACATTATATTTCTTGGCAACATCCCATAATGAAACATTTTCCAAAAATGCAGGACGATCTTTGTACTTTTCAATAAACGATTTACCACTTGTACCATCATCAAGATTCTCATCATCAGTCAAAATTTGGCACCATTTCTTATTATTAAAATTAACAATAACAAATGATCTTTTACCACTAGAATGCAATTTGAGTCCTAACAATATATGGCTTACTTCTTGGGCTGAAACATCACGTTCCACACAAGCTTTAATAAAAAAGCGTTGAATGGCATGAACGCATTTGCTTTCTTCATTCATTGAATCCAAAATTCCTTTCATCAGATCAAGTACACAGCCTGAAGAAACTTCTGACTTTGAAATGTATTTCGATAAATACGCCAATAATCTCTTCTTACTAATAACAGGTGCAATGTCCATGTTTGCACGCCACAACTGTATTATAAACTGATTGTATTTATTTAACCTGTCATCATTACGAGCCGGACAAAATTCAATTTCACCAGATTCATTTGCAACACATTTCGCTTGATCATTCAAATCCAAAATAGGAAAGCCAAATCTGCACTTACTTTCCTTTGTTCTGTTATTATACTTAATACAATACTCAGTAGAACATTTTGTATGTCTTTGGACTGTATTCAAAAGCTCAGCAAGATCCTTCTGAAAGTCAGTTACATTGCCATATACTTTTCTACAAGGATGATCATCTTCTCTCTCTGAATGACTATCTGGATTAATGGCTGATATAAGATCATTAAAATAATCAACAATGACATCTAATTCTTCTTGTGTTGCCTCTTCCATCTTGTCACAATTAGGAGCATTTTCAAACCAAAAGACTCCGTGCAGGTGGCACGAGCCTCTGTGCTGATATTCAATGCGATACCAGTAATCAATGACATTATACTTTTTAATCAAAACCTGCAAAAAACCACCATGCATAAAATATAACCAAAAAGTAAAAATTAAAACAAATTTACAAAAATTGTTAATTTAACACAGTACTTACATGTTTCAAAAATGCATTTACCCTCATATCAAAGAATTCATCAACAACTTGTGGATTATCTCTCAATAGCTTATGTCTTTCAAATTCAGTCAATTCAGATAAATCTTCTTTTCCAGTAAGTAATCTATACAGATCTTTCCAATGTAGATCTGCAGCACTCAATGTTAAAAATATGGTTGGCATATGTAACTGATTAACCATATCATGCAATTCTCCAGCTCTTGAATGCCAATATGCCTTACTTCCCCTCAAGTTTCTAGCATGAAACATTACTTTCTTCAGAATATTTGGATTTTCTTTTAATATTTCCTTTAATTGATCAACAGTCATATTTTTAAATTCTTCATTTTGTTTGACATACACATTTCCATCTGTTAATGCAGTCCAACGCATCCAAGAATTATAAGCAAAAAACCGAAAAGTTTTATGCTTAGAAAACCTTTCATCTCGATAACGCAATAAATGTCTAAAATAATTAGACGCATTAACATCTTTTTCATGCCAATCCCTCAAGTCAGCTTTACCATAACAAAATAAAGTAGGAAATGCACAAGCAATGTAACCTGGAGTACTATATTCATCTATAGGTTGAGATTCAAATGAAGGCCAATTTAGGTAATTTCTAATCTGTTCATCTTGATGTGGAAAATGAACATCAGACACAACTGTACGATATGGATCATCAATATTACTTTCTTCACAAATTCCATCATCTACATCCATAGGTATTACATTCTTCTCACTTATATCATTTCCACAATATGATTGGATTTCATCGGACACATTGCTATCTTCAGGTAATAAATTTAGGTTATCCTCATTAATCATTATGTCCTCATAAAACTTATTATTGTGTTTCAACCACACTAATGCTGCTTTAACTTTATGAGCCCTCACATGAAAATCATGGTATGTGTTATCTTCACCTTCTTTCCTGACAACAATAATGGAATTTAAATCTGTAATCTTCATTGGCAATTCTCTGGCAAAACTATCAATTTTCTGAGAGAAATTGATAACGTTCTTTCGATAACCGTATTGCCCATTCCTGGTTAACATATATACTGAAATGAGGGGGTGAACTCTAGCAATCAATCTTTCCTCAATGAAAGTCAGACCTTGCAATTCAATAGGAACATCTCCTGGATCCATATTATTTATACCACAGTATTCCCAACACTTGTCTTTATGTAAACATTTCGTTTCATCATCTCCTTTAACTAAGAACTTTTCTTTGCAGGATACACACACATTCCACTTCAGATTTTTCATTTCATCATCAAAGTCTGATGCTGCTCTTTTAGTTACATCAAAACAAATGGCATCATAATTGTTATCACTCCACCGGTTTAGATTTAAACAATATTGTTCCACACTCTCATCAGACAAAACGTGTTCAGCACACATAGGAACTGCACTTGGAATTAATTTATCTACCTTCTGATAATTGATAAACTTTTCTTCAAAATGATCCTTACATACAAAAAACTTCTCATTAATAAACTTTGGATCATACAACAATAAAATACCATTCCCAATATTCTTCAACCATTGCAAAAACCTGCAAAATAATAATTGCAACAAATATTACCAATTTCAAAAATTATGATCCCAATCTTACCAACAAAATTCATAAACAAAAAATAATTAGAAATAAGGGGCACAAAACTCACCTGTCCAATTTAGTCTGATCTACTTGCATAACACCATTAAGTTTTCTAAGAACATTTGGAAATCGAAACATTGTTGTTTCCCTATTGCTTCCATTGCAAGATAAGTAACAACACTTCTGCAATCTAGTATAAGAACGAATTGGCTCCACAACATTATTATTTTCCTCCAACTCATTAATAACAACAGGTACTACATCCTGAAACAAATAGATATAAATTCATCAACCACACAAAACACAATGAATATGTACAACTAATAAAACCTGTGCTTACATCTTCAGTTGCTACATTCTTCTGTTCATCTTCATCGAACTCAGTTATCTTATTTGACAAAATTTGAGGCATCTTCCACGCCATATCAAATTTATACATAAGTTCATCACTTAAACACTCATACTGAAAGTGAATTGGGATTGCAGCCACTTTCAATTTTGACTTATTATACTTGTAAAATGCATCATTTGAAAAATGTCCCTCACACACAAAAACTTCTTCAAATAATTTACTTGGATTGCGATTCAATAATAATGGATTGCCACATTTACGCAGCCATTCCCTACAACTACATGAAACAAAACATTACAACACAAACAAAACTATATTACCCATACAATTCCATACAGAACACATGTACTTACGTTTGTAACGCCTGCAAATTAATAACTTTACCTCCCTTCTTAAACACATTTGGAAATGAATACAATTTTTCAAAAATATTTACACATCCTTGAACACAACATTTCTTAACATCACAATTGGTACGATTTCCAACACTTTCAACAAGTGCATCATTGCTGATATTTACTTCACTTTCTTCATTAACTACGTGTGTAGAAATTTGATCATCCTACAAATGAATTCAAAATGGCACAATGTAATTTAAAGTCACAACAATTAATAAAAACCCTTTGGCATTTAACACTATTTACCTCAGTAACATCAATGATATTCTTCTCCATATATTCTACAAACGTATCTACATTAAATTCGCGAATATTCCATCCAATATCATAAGCACTCATTGCATCATCACCAATTGGATTAGAATCAAACAGTGATGGAATGGCAGTCTTCTTTAAGATATCATTATTTTTGGAATTGAATTGATGCATATTGAAATGATCAGCACACAAATAAAAACCATTACACATATGACCTGGATTCACATTTAATAATTTCATGTTACCAGATAATCTTATCCATTCCCTAAGCCTGTAAAAGTATAACATTTTTCACATTCAATTCAATACAATTAATGGCACACACATAACACACGTGACAAACATTACTTGCCGTTCAAGGCCAGACTTATTCACCACCTTCCTCCCATTCATATTTCTAAATATGTAAGGAAATGAATACAATTTTACACTGGCATTATTTGAATGACACTTTGCTGCAGAACAAACTCGTGTGGCTAACATATTCCCGATCTGAAACAAACAAACCACGCTATGTTTAACAGTTTCAACTCAGTAAATATATACAAACATCACACAAACCAATACTAACTTGGTTCGGCTTATCAATAAATTGTGATTCCCAACGAGTCACATTTGGTTGATTTCCACCATACACTTCAACCTCCACAATTTCAGAACCAACATCCATACCATGCGATTCATTTTCAAACAATTGAATTTCACAAATGGCATCTTGCATTGAAATGTGGACAATAGCACTAAATACAGCCGCCATAATCCACAATAATTTACAGCAATACATCTGCATGTTACAATAATAAAATTAGACGAATCTCATGAACATAATCTGTAACAAACGTACAATGAATAAAATAAAACAAACGAAACAAAAACCTTGACAACAACTTAAACACATGAGAACATAACCAATACCAATGCCAGCGTTACATACATACCTTTCGGTGAATCTTTAAATTCCCACACTAATTTTTTTTATTTATTCATAACAATACATCTGCATGTTAAAATAATCAACTTAGACGAATCTCATGAACATAATCTGTAACAAACATACAATGCATAAACTAAAAAAAAACGAAACAAAAACCTTGACAACAACTTAAACACATGAGAACATAACCAATACCAACACCACCGATACATACATACCTTTCGGTTAATCTTAAAATTCCCAGTTTAAAAACACACCAGTCAAAACTTGTGATAGTGCTCCGCCGCTAACGGCTACCGGCTCACGAATTTCAAACATGTAATAGCTACCACCACAACGAAATGAAAACTATATTTGCCAAACCAAATACAACATTTATTTAAAACGCCTTAAAACTACAGAAGTGCGCCTAAAACGAATGCATACAACACAAAACATGGAAATGCAACGTCCTAACAATTTAAAGGTAGCAAATATATAACATTGCATATGTTCCAACACAATTTTTTTCCATACACTGTTAGGTTGGCACCAACCTATTGCGGCGACTTTTCCGATCAATATGTTGGCTTCGTTAGACGGTATAGTCCATTACTATATTGTATAGTATAGTTTAGTTTAATTTGCACTCAGCCAACAACTCGATGATCACTAGACGAGGGAGTCACGTGTGGCACTAGCCGGACCGCTCTACTGAGCAGGTGTATGCCAACTGATGAGTGCGACTGGCGCGTTTGAGAGTGTCTGTTGGAGAGAGATACCGAGCGAAGAGCTGAAGTACGGGCGAGGGGGGAGTCGCAGCGCCACAACAACTGAAGGCGTGCCTAAGAGACTACCCAGTGAAGGTCAACGGCTCAGGTCCACCCGCGGACTTATAAACTCAAGTAAAACACCAAAAACTTCTCATTCCAACGAACCGATTCGTTGCTCCCTAACACCGTTTTTTTTTTTAGCAGATGGTACCTTACAACCTTACACTTACATATCTAAACATAACTATACACGAGTAAGGTAAGGTGTCATTGCTTTAACTCTCGATTAAGAAATATTAAAGAGAACCAGAAGAAAGCTTATATACGTATTGTGCTAGGCCTGCTAGGCGGGGTCGTGAAGCGGCTGGCGTACGTCGCCCGACGCCGTCTCGTCGCGCCGCGTCAGCCCCGCCCCCGCCCGCCACGAGCCGAGCCTAGAGAGACTCAGCCGAGCCCGAGCAGCCCCACGCAGAGTCGGCCGCGCTGGTCTACGCTAGTCCAGGGCTCATACCGGTCAGGGAAGTCAGGGAAGTCAGGGAAAAGTCATGTCTGGTTTTATTCTAACTCAAGTAGTTTAGCCAAAAACCTAAGAAAATTACGGAATTTTTGCCATTCGTGCGATCTAGAATTGCCCAGTGGCAGTGGGGGTCACCATAAGGGGTCCAGGATCGTAACCCGCTCTTGGGACCCGTTTTTGCGGCCCGTCCAAATTTTCTACAAGCAAAAGAAATCGACGCGTCCTAACAACAATGTTCTATCTGCAGCGTGCGGAGTACACAATATCCCATATGCAGAGTGTCGTTTACACAATGTTCTATCTGTAAAACGGGGTTGGGTGCAGCCCTTCACCTTTGTGGGGTTTGCAAGAAACTGGAAGACATTAAGGCCAATCTGCGCACATCTCGACTAATAAATATGTTGATAGTCAAACTGCATCCCGCATAATTTAATGCACTTTTGAGAGGCAGACCACAAAAAGGAGTTGGACATTGGACATGAGACTAAGAGTCTTACGTTGCTTTGCGTCTCACAACCTCAAATTTGGATCCAGGAAGCGGAAGAAGGGATTAACTGACATAACCCCAAACTGAGATTTTTAGTGGCCGTTCTACATCTACAGTAAAATGGCACATTTTCCGTCTACGTGCCATAGTTCCTGCGATATGACGGAATGAAAAATGAGTCAAGTAGACTTATCCCTTTTTACCTCAAGGTTTTACTTGTATTAGGAGAAAAATCGGATTGACCCCTAATGAATGATATATAGCATTTAGAGATATTTGATAGATGAGATGACTCTTTTTGTAGGACATTAAAGAACTTGCCTCCAAACTCCATTAACTTTTATAGGAGTAACTTGACTTAACTCCCTTTACGCAAATTTTACGGGAGATACATTTTGAAAATCTAGATAGGGTCGATATCAAATATTCTACCATGACCATTTTATCAAGCAGTCTTCAAAAAATAAGAATGGAAAATAAAAGTTCAAAACTTTTTTGAATTTGTAGCGTAAAACAGTTTTTGGTGTTTCCTGAAATCTTGTGGTTTTGCAGTTATCCCCTTCTTCTGCTTCCTGGACCAAATACGAAAATAGGCCTTCAGTGGCATTGAAGTATACCACACAGGTACTTGCTTGAGTGGAGTGGAACATATTTGATAATTTCCACTAGATAGATGAGCAACGTGATAAATAAAGAAGACAGTGAAATAAAAACGTTAACAGTTCTTCTTAACTGCAAACGAAGCCACGGTTAGGAAATTTTAGTAACTGTTTGATTGTTGAATCGAAAGTACTTGATGCTTTTTTGTGCGCCATATCTTTCTGCACTATGTTGTATAATTGAAAACTATTTTTAGCGTGGGCGCTAGGCAGTGGGAAACCGACTACTCAGAGAGCAATGTGTTCATTGTTGGGCTGTTACGCAGACGCGCCTCGAAGATGCAACAGGTGGTGTTGAACCTCCCCCTTGCGCCACGCTGTCGGGTAGAAACGACCCTAACGGGTTCGTATAAAAAATCTGTCCCAGAACTTTATTTAAATAGTTATGTACGGAGTTTTCCTGTTGTCGCAAGACTTTATCAAGGAATAAATATATAAGTTATTATCACAGTCTGTAGCGTACTTTCTTAGTGTTACGGTAACGGTTCCTCCACCCGCAGCAGCGGCTGCCGGATGGCGTCCAGGATGTAGTGCAGCGCGTCGGGCGGCAGGTCGCGCTGCCTCCGGATGACCTCGCTGATCCTGGAGTACTCGCTGCGCATCCAATCCTGGGCGGCCTCCTCCACGCCCAGCTCCGCGTACAGCTCCATAACGGCCGCCACCTTCTCGGCGTCGTCAACACCGTAGTTCTCCTGTCGGCGTTGCATCTCGGGATTAAGAAAGCCCCTGTGAGGTAGGCCCCTGTGAGGTAGGTCGCCCCGCTCGGCAGTCGTGAGTGCGACCCCTCCGGCGGCCTACCCCCCAGGCGCTCCCGCTCACCTTAAGCAGGGCGCGTTGCTTGTCGTTGGCGCGCCGTTTGGCCTCCACCACCAGCCACGAGCACTTTCCGTTGCGGATGTCGCACCGGGACTTCCCCGACAGCGACTCGGGCTCGTAGCAATCGCTGTAGTCGTCCTGGACGGGAGAATGCATGTGAGTAGAGGTGGCGGTCGACAACCTTCGCGCGCCCAAGCTCACCTGCACGGTGAAAAGCATCCCGATGTCCTGGGCCATCCGCCAGAGCGCCTCGTGGCGCCCGCTGTCCGAGAGGCCGGCGAGGTGCATTGCTGCGGCCAGCGGGCTGTAGAAGCTGTAGTGCGAGATCTTGAAGCGAGCCTGCGCCGCGTGCATGGCGTGGTCGAAGGCGTCGAACCTTCCCTCGCCGGTGAAGCCGTTGTGGCACTCGTAGTTTTGGGATATGACAGCGTAGAAGATAGTCTGCGGGGAGACCGAGGTGTTTTACACATCGCGTGAGAGGCCGAGAGGGACGCTCACCTACCGCTCTCACCTCGTTGAGGAGTTCGAACAGGCGAACGTAGCTCGGCTCTGTGCGGAAGTAGCGGTGCAGAACCTTGTTCATCGCCATGTGTATGATGAAGGCGTCGTTGATGGCGTGCAGGCCAACGCCCGGCAGCGTGTGCCATGCGGGCAGCCCCCTCCGGAGCTCGGCTCCGTCGACCAGGTCGTCGGCGATGACGATGTAGCCCTGCAGCTACTCGGACGCACCAGGATCGTAAGCATCGTGAGGGGCATAAAGGCTCGTCTACAATGCGAGGCGTGGAGCGCAGGCGTGGATCGTAGGTTGAGGCGTGAGCGGGATCGTGGGGTAGCGAAGGCAAAGTTGTCAACATAGCTCATTGGAAGGCGTTGAGGAACGAAAACAGAACGGGGAAACCCGCTAAAAACCAGCGCAGCAACAGCCAAAACCGTAAACAGTTTTCCACGACCTGCGCCTGCGATCCTACGCCGTCCATTGTAGACGAGCCTTAAGGGAGGTGGTGATAGGGTCCGCCCGGGCCGCTCACCATCTCGAAGGCGAGGCCCAGCGGCCTGCCCAGCGCAGCGCGGTCCAGCGGGAGCAGCTCGCGGCAGGCGTTGAGCGCGCTGCAGCCACGGAAGAGGCGGCCCCCCGGCACGACGTAGTGCAGCACCTGTGGCTCCACACAGGTCACGTGACCTCTCACAGGCAAAATCACGCATTAAAAAGTGCGCAGACTTATTCTTCGTGAGGAACGGATTTAAAATGGGAACGTACTGCACTGAATATTGTTAAATGTTGTAAAATATTCGCTTACAGCACCAAAGAAAAACGTTTTCTATGAAATTTCACATTAAATTGTGGGTCAGGCCCTGTACAATACTCCCTCTTTTCATTAGATGTGAGGAAAAAGAGGAGGTATAGAATGGGTTAATACCAACGTTGTCCTTACTTTGCCGATCCACTCCGTCTCGGACGGGATGCCGACGGGCAACGAGTCGGCCTTGACGTCCTCGACGAGGGTGGGGAAGAAGGCGAGCAGCTCCCTCCGGTCGGCGGCCAGCTGTTTGCCGGGGGCGATGAGTTGCGCCGCGGTTCCGTGGACGGCTCTGAGGACGCCGACGAAGGCGCGGCCCTGGGCGGCGGCACTAGACGACAGCATCGGCGCCCACATGGCGGTCAGCGTCGTGCAAAAAGTGGAGGAGCTGTGACGACGCCCAGCCCAGCTTTTCAAAGTTAAGTCAACGAGATGCAAGTGACCGATTTAGGTCGCCACCGCATCCTCCGCGGTGGTCCACGCCACACGCGTGCATAGTGATAGGAGGAAAGTTTTCGGAGGAAAGCAAGAGCCTTATTCAGTTTAGGAATGTTCCCGAGAGCGCGACAGCATGAAAGCGTTGGAGAAGGGCGAGGAGAAGGGAGCGGGGAGGGAAAAGGCGTCCAACTCCACGCTCTCAATGTACAAATGGAAATTTCGTCACATTTTTCACCATTTTTCATCAATTGAAGTCATATTATCAGTTTTTCATCATTTCGTCATATTTCAATCATTTTAAGTCACTTTTTGCCATTTTCACTCACTGTTCAGTCAAATTTCGTCAATTTTAGTCATTTTCAATCCTTTGTTCTCATCAAATGTTGTCATTTTAGTCATACATGAACTATTCTACGCGTCATCAGTCGCCTACTACTTCTTAGCTCTCTGATAACCCTTTCTCAATTTTTTGAGACTTTTCATCATTTTTTTTCCCATTTTTCATCTTTTTCATTATTTTTCATCGATTTTTGTTATTTTTCATCCTTACTCAATGTACACGAAGATTAAAGTGGGGGATGCTGTCGCGCCCTCGTCCTCTCGCGCCCCCTGCTCTTCGCTTCCTATCCCCCCTCGTCCTAAATTCACGCTCTCGCTCTCGCGCTGCTCGTGGGCGTGGCTAAATTGAACACAGCAACACAGCTCATGACTGTACCCAAGCCTAAGAACTCACGTTTCTCGGCCTCCAGCCACCAGGCCAGACCCGCGCACGACTAAAGGCATGCGCCCCAGGGGCAGCAGAGACTGCGTGTCACCGGTCGCGGGAGGGAGAGGGAACCAGGTTGGGTCGATTGGGTGGCCTGCCCACCAGGCGCCAGAGGTGCGGGCCGAGCTGGCTGACGAAACTTATGATTGACTTTACACTTTTGCGCTTGGTACGGCTGCCGGTTCCGCGCCCCTCTCTACTGCGACCGAGGCGCAGGCTGACGAGACTGTAATCTCTATGGTGACACATTATTCCGCACTTTGGCGACGAAAAAGGTGTTCGGAAACAAACGTGTCAACATACAGGGTGGTTCACAGACCCCTCCCTTCATTTTGCTTATACTGTAAGCATGCAGGCGTGCGGACGGGCTTGCCTACCATTCTCACCGCGGCTCTGTAGGGCCCCCTGCGAGTATGCAACCCGGCCGCACGTCCGCATCCGGTACACTGTTTTTACTAGCCAGGGGCCTGTGGCCTGTGGCCTGTGGCCCAAAGCCTCGCACATAAAGCTATACTATGTACACACACACACACACACATATATATATAT